ACATTTTTAAAAAAATTTATTTAAATGATTATAATGTTAAAAAAACATAGATGATAAAATTCTATAATCTTTAGCTTAAAATAATATGAAATTGAATAATATATAATGGTTTTAACTTAAATGAAAAAATAAAAAAAATTAGACGAACGAAACAAATGAAAAAAATAATAATTAGACCAATACACTCGGTAGAAAATGAGAACGATAATTCATTCAAATAATCAAGAACAAATTGAAATGTGGGTTGTTATTGGTTTGGAAAGAGAAAGAAGATGATGAATGAGGACAAGGAAACTGAAAACTGAAAAAAAGTGAAACTGAAAACTGAAAATGAAATGGTTATCAAACAACCCCTAAGGCTTTTAAAAATCAAAGGGAAAATGAAATGCAAATGAACAAGTGGGAAATATGATTAAAGCAGAGAGCATAGATGTTGAAAGCTACTGGCAAAGACTCAAAAGAATGGTTGGTAAAGTAAAGTCTCGCCTCGCCACAACCAGCTTTTATAACAAGTTTTTTGGACCCTTCTGTATTAAAGTTGCCGATAACAGCCGAAAAGGTTTTGCTTTAACCCAGTCCACATTACTTTTTGAAAAAAAAACAGTGCTTTCCTAACTTCAGGGAGCTTTTTTGGGTTTTTGTTTTGCTTTAATCAAGTGACTGCATTACTGCCCCCACTTCTGATGCAAATCTTTTCTTTGTGCAAATAAGAAATACTATTTCAGACCAAAAAAAAAAAAAAAAAGAAATACTATCATCTCCCCCAATCTTTTTTTTGGCTGTTTGTTTTCATGTTTTTCAAAATATTACCAATATTTTTACTCTAAATCATATCCACTGTACTTGCAGTCTTATCAAACGAAAACATAATGAAGAAGTCAAAGAAGTGAGCGCAACAACAATACGCCGATATAGACAAAGAAAATTACAAGGTGAAGAAAGTGGGTTCTTCCAACCACTAGAAAGAATCTCTCTCTTCTCAACCCAAATTCTCAATAGAGAATCCCCAATTACACCCATGACTCACAACACAAATTCACAAGTCCTAAACCATACACCCTAAAAGTAGGGGAGGAAAAACCAGGGCTAACCGGCCGAAAAAAAAAAGCTACAAAACAGGGTGGGAAAGACCAAAAAAACTGCAAAATCATGTACGAGGCAACTTAGAAAACAAAACTGAATCCGCGTGGCTCGAGCAGTTTTACAACATCCCGAAATCGTGTTCTTTGGACTGGAAAAAGTAGCTGGAGAACTGGTGCAATTGGATTTTCTGCAGAATGTTCCGTCGCACTTTTCTCGAGCCGGTTAAGCACTTGGGCTCCATGAATATTGAGCAAATTAACTTCTTTGCTTTGGAAAATTCACTTCTTTTATTCAGAAAAGTGAGCGAATCAACTCCACATTCTTGATTGAGATGCAATAATGACTACATGAATAATTAAGGGGTTAATTAACACATCTTACCAGAAATGGGTTAATCACGTCTGTCATTACCATCTTCATCTCAATTTTGACAGACGTGATGAAAATAGGCAATCAAGAAGTCCATCTTGAGAAAGTTAATTACGCTAGCATAGGCACTCATTCTACGAGAAGTTATTGTTGGTTCGGGTTGTCTGACAAGTAATCATCTAGTGTAGTCGAATTGTGTTTGAGAAGTAGGACACCATCTACACTCAGCCACAAGGGAGGAGGGAATACCTGCAAGAAAACACTCCAACGCTCAAGTTAGTAGGTGTTCCAATTGAATTGTAGTACAATATAGCAGGAAAAATTACCTTCTTTCTCGTAGAAGATTATGCAGTGATGGAAATGATTACCAGAGGAGGTGGATGAGATTGGCAGAGCCCATAATCATCATCATCAATTCTCCGGTGTTGGATAAACATATTAAAACGAAGTGATTTGGAGTAGGAAACTAATGTAGCAGGAAAAACTTACCTTCTTCTCACGGAAGATTATGCACTGTTGGAAGATTACAGAGGATGCAGCAGCCACTTGAATTGAAAGCAAAAAAGAAATCGGAAGATGGTAGCAACTAGAAAAAGTAAATAATGAAGAATTAATACATGAATAATCATCAGTTCAGCATCATGAAATCTCTGTTGTCTCTGGCTCCATCCAAACTCCGTCTTTTTGTACAAATTTAGAATTAATTTCGATGTTTGGGATGTGAGAGACCTTGTCCCACTCCCTGCCACTTGCTGTTTCGCAACCTTGGAGAATATTCTCACACTCACTAATGACTAATTTCTGCAGCGGCGTCTTCCACATGAAGTCCGGCACTGCTTTCAGATTAGGACATGACTTGATTTCTAAGGTTGAAAGAGATGGCATTAATTTAATTTCAGAATCCTCTCCCTCCCTGTGCCCTTCAACTCCTTCCCAATCTTCCCACTTCACCATGCTTTCGAACCAGAGTTTTTTCAATTTCGGGAATAATATTGTTGGCGTTTCCAATTGACCATCTATTCCCAAAAAATCAACTCCCAACTTTTTAAGACTCTTCATTTCAACTATTATAAGATATTCAATTTCCCAAGAGGAGGCAAAAGCTCACAAAATGGAAAAAATTCAACTTCAAGCGTTTTCAAATTATGCAACGACATCATCCAATTGAGGCACAGAGTGAGACCGTGGTAATTGTAGATACCTAACCTCTCCAAATTTGTATGAGGTTGAAAGGCATTCAGTAATTTTTCATCCATTTCTCTCCGAAGCTCACTTTCACTTGTATAAATTGACTGATCAAAAAATAGAAACAGAGTATTGAGGTTTTTCTTATTCACAAATTGTGCCTTATTAACCTCACTCACATCTTGCACCGACTTCAAGTTACGTATACAAACCTCTCGAAGCTGATCCAAGTTTCCCAACTCCCCTAACTTGATCAACCCTTTATTCTCGTCAACATCACCGTAGAGAGTTAAGCCTTCAAGTGTTTCCAGATTTTTTAATCTTCCAATCTCTTTTGGTACTTTTAGACTATCGCAACCCCCAAGATTAAGGTGCTTTAAGTTAATCAGCCTTCTTATTGTCACTGGTAGTGTTTTAAGTGCAATGCAAAACACGAGTTCCAATGTTTGCAGATTGTATAAATTACCCACAATATCGGGTAATTCTTCCAACTTACTATTCCAAGATAAATTGAGATACCGCAAATGTATTAGTACCCTGATCTCTTTAGAAACAACTGTTATTTAGGAGTGGGTATAAAAACCGATAAACCGATTAAACCGAACCGAACCAAACCAAACCAAACTGAAAAATAAATTTTTTTTGACCAAACCGAAAAAGTCAACACTAGACCTGAACCGAACCGTTGACTTCGGTTCAGGCTTCGGGTCCAATATTTTTTGAACCGTTGGACCTGACCCGAACCAACCTTTATTTTTTGGCAGCCAATAAGCCCATGCCACTACTAAATTCAAGGACCCTAGTAGTGGCTGCTGTGTATGGTTTGTCCTTTCCCTTTCAATGAAAGTGTGTTTCGACCAAAAAAAAAAAAAAAAAATTCAAGGACCCTGATGAGCGGTTGAACAATATCGCAATGATGCAAGGTTCCTTTTTCTGCTACCATAAGCACCAGCCATTTGTGGAGAAATTTTGGGGTATGACCGTATATACAGACACATGATGGTCGATATGTAAACGACAAAACTGATATGTTATCACCCAAAATCAATGGGCATATAAAAGTCCAGGCCACATCATTCAAAAAGTGACCCTTTATTGGGTAGTAGTATATCACAGTTCAGAAGTACAAAATGGCCACTTACCAATATTTCCTTTTAGACAATCAACATTAAAAAGCAAAGAAAAAAACCAAAAACAAACATTGCCAAAATGGAATCTACAGTGTCAATCAAATGATACATTGCCAATTTTCTGTACTGGGTTCAGAATGGACATTTTAAGAGATATTGGACTTTAGCTCAAATGGAAAATTAAAAGGTGGTTTATTTTATCCTCGTTTCCTTTTTCTTGGTTATTTTCATGGGGCACAAAGGTCTAAACCCTCACTAAACACCAATATGAAACCTTCCTAATGTCTTTTGCTGTCAACTTGCAGAAGTAAAAGCCCAATCACTTGAAATTCTTTTTTTTGAAGGCAAACGATAATTCATTCAAATAATAAAAAATAGTAGTGTCAGCATGTAACGAAGTGGCCACGTTAAAACCTTTCCGAAGAAAACCACATGGGACAAAACTTCGGAGTAGGAAATAGTACCACACATGCGAAGAAATTACAAGAAAATCAAGGAAAGGAATGCGGAGCAGGACAATCATCTTGAATGCAATCCATGACCCAAAGAGGCCCCTCATCCATCCAAAACGATAGTCCACTTTCACGAGGACTAAACTAAGTAATTCTGTGAGCAGCTCCATTAGCTTTACGAGCAAAGCTGCTGCTCCTGCAGAAATATAGTTAACCAATTGAAAAGAAATGCAATAAATTAATTTAAATTCCTCCTTTGTATTTATTGATAACAATTATCATAGTTACTAATTTAAAGAAAAATAAGTAAATCTGAAGATGGTAGCAAGCAACTAGAAACTTAAATAAAATTGAAGAATTGCAAGGAAGGTGTTCAAAATTACCATTTTAGCCCAAGAGGTGGATCAGATAGGCAGGCAGGCAGAGCCCATCATCAATCCTCCTCCAACATTCCAACTCCGTCTATTTTCACAAACTCGCCCTGAATTTCGATGTTTTGGACTTGAGACGCATTTTTCAACCACTCCATTCCACATATTTTCACAAACTCGCCCTGAATTTCGATGTTTTGGACTTGAGACGCATTTTTCAACCACTCCATTCCACATCTCGTCTCGAACCATTGTGCAAGAATCGGACAATCCTCTCCGTCGATGCGTAATTCTCGCAGCGGGGTCTTCCAAAGGAAGTTTGGCAGTGCTTTCAGCCTCTCGCAGTCTCCGATTTCTAACTTCAAAAGAGATGGCATTATTGTAATTTTAGAATCCTCTTCTTCTACTCCTTCCAATTCTTCCCACTGTTCCATGAAATGAAGTCTGAGGTGGTTCAATTTCGGAAACGAGTTTATTAATGTTTGCGGTGTTTCGCCTGTTATTCCCAAAAATTCAACTCCCACCTTTTTCACACTCTTCATCCAATGTATAGTCAAATATTCAAGGGACGGGAGTTTCCCCAGAGGAGCCAAAACCCCACAAAATGGAACAACATAGAATTCAAGCCTTCTCAGATTATGACAGCTCATCATCCAACTGGGACACAGGGTGGTACTGTGGTACGCAATGATAGTCAACGACTCCAGATTTGTATGCACTTGAAAGCCATTCAGTATTTCTTCATCCTTTAAATCCGGCCCGTGTCTCCCGTACCCAAAATATAGAGTCAAATGAAGGAGGTTCTTCTTGTTCACCAATTCTGCATTTTTAGCCTCACTCCCGTCTTTGGCTGAATTAAAGTTTTCTATACGAAGGCTCCCTGAAAGCTGCTCCAAGTTTCCCAAATCCCCTAACTTGAAAATTCCTTCATCATCCTCGATACCGTCTTGAAGATACAAGCAATCTAAGATTTGCAGATTTCTTAATCTTCCAATCTCTTTTGGTAATTTTAGCCATTCGCACCCCGAAATATAAAGATGCTTTAAGTTAACCAACTTTCTT